TTTTTTTGAGGTAGTCATCTCAACCATCTAAAAATAAACCCAAAGATGTGAGACTAGAACATTAATTTTCTATGCGAGTTTAATTCCATCTTATTTTTTGCATAATAATATGAGGTAGATATATATAGAGAAATATTTTTATAAGAGATCTTAGGGGGATGGTAGATTTTATTGTAATCTTGAAGCCTATAAATCATCAGGAAAGACACTGACTAAACTTTAAAGACAAAATGAAAGAGAATGTGCTTCAAAGGTAGTTTAACTTTTTCAAGTGTAAGTAGCCTTTCCATTTTGCATACGAAATGAATACATGTGACTACCCAAAGATTTTTCTGACTTGCTATGCAGTATGTAAAGAGAAGAGAATGTCCTTCTCTTGTCAGTTTTTAAAAGTATGAATATCAAGATTCTGCTATTATGAGAAAGGCAGAATAAGCACCTTAATAAGCTTTCCATCTAGCCAGTTTTTTTGAAGAGATCGCTGAAGCCTTTTAACAAAAGGTGCTTTCAGTAATACAGAAAGGTTCTCGTCATTAGAGAATGTATGCCTATGTTGATATTAACTGAAATAGAGATTTTTCCAGAATGTCTAGGCCAGCAAAAAATGCATTTTCCAGACTATAGCAACATTATATGGTAGTTCCAAGCCTGTCTTGCGTTTCAAGTGACAACCTTGCTTCAAGCTTGTGGGACACAGCATATATGCCAGCTTTTCCAGTTTGTTCTCAGCAAGGTTAAGTGAAATTAGACCAACTGGACTAAATTATCCTTTTGTATGGAAATTGCGCCACTGCTCAGATGTCAGAATGGGACATGTACAAAGGAGCTTACTTCTTTTACTGCTTTCCATAAAATAATGAATCCTTGAGCTCAAGGCAGAGCAGCCCCTAGGCTGTGCTTCAGAATCTGGGGAAAATAATCTCCTGATCTTCCCTCTGCTGTACCCCTTTAAAGGTTGTAGTGACTTTTCTTACAGCAAAATGCGTTGTTGCCTTTTCCAGCTAATTGCAAAGCGCAAGGTTTATTGTCAGTGCTACAGTGATGTGTTGTACCAACAACTAAGAAGGAACTGGTTTGTTTTGGCTCTGCAAAGAAGCCACGTATCTGTGTATATAGAATATTCAGCTGTTGTCAGGTACCTTGCTGTTTTCTGGGGCTTCAAATATGTCTCCTGTTTTACTTGTGGATTCTAAGTCAGGAGCTGTCCCTTGAGCCCTCAAACCTTTAGAACGTTTGGTCAGGTAAGAAAGGATTACTGCTGAAGTTTGTCTGCAACATACTACCACAGCGTGCTACCAAAATTCTGCTGTAGAGAATTAAAATTTTGAAATTAATCAAATATCTTCTTGAAAAAAAACAACAAACAAACAAAACCCAAAGCTTTAAGTCATATGATACCCTTGATGCACAGAGAGAAGAATGTGCTGAAGCACACAATGCTGAAGAATTTGAAGCAACTTTCAGCATTTGCTGAAAAATTCAAGTTATTTAGATTAATACTTATTTTTTCTCTTTTTTTCTTTTTTTGGAAACTGATCGACTCATTAATTCTACCTTACCTACTGTCTTTAAACATTAATTAAGTTTCTTTTAAACCTAGAAACCCCTATAATTGACCAATCTGAATGTTAGAAGCCAACTGGCCGTGCACTAAAGTCTTTTGGGGATAAGGCTCATCTCTCACTGTGTGTAGTAGAAATAGGAATAGAAATACGCAGTACAACAGGATGTAATGCCTGAAGTAGATGTTTTCAAGAATTCCTTCAGGAAGGAATACTCTTAGAGTTTTATAAAGTTATAGCCAAACTTAGCATTTAAACACAGATGACAGAAAAAGAAAATTAATTACTGTTAATTTACAGATTGGCGTGCTGTTTTTTCTTTAAATTGTGGCTGAAGTTATTAAAAAATGGCGGTTTGTTCCTGTGCAAAAAAGTTATTTTGTTATTAAATTGCATCTAGTGTGAGACAATTCTTTATGCAATGTCAATTTTGGCATGTGTTTTTTCCAATGTCCTTTTTTATACTGGAATCTGAGTTCAGAGTGCATCTCCTGCTATAGAGTTCTAATTAAATGCAAAGCATCTATGGAAGCACATGTTTGCTTGTATGAACAAGCAAACGCAGCTCTAGACAGTGGTACCGTGAGCAAGAGGGTAAGTCTCCAGTAACGGCAACTCCTAGCAATTCCCACTGCTCACAGGAAGGAGCTGCACCTTTCTGAATTTCAGGTTTTTGCACCCCTATGCACTTCTAGAAAATGAGTATAAATACCTTTAACTTTGGCAGGTATCTTTCTTGTTCATATCAGCTTCTACATGGTCTTTATATTATCTGAACTTCTGTTATTTAGTTATTTTTCACTTCAGTGTAATCTTTGTTAATCTTGAGAATGAAAAGTCCTTGAATAATTGGAATAGATGTGCAGTCACTGGGTTTTGAAGTCATGCTGGACAACATGTCAAGCTAGTCCAGCCCCCTTGCTTTTCTAGATTAACAGAAGACTGCTGCTGTAAACTGCTTACCTGCCTTTCGTCAGGGGACCCATAGAGACTCCGTAGCAGGCAGGAGAACGTGCTACAGTCACAGAAGTCTACAGAAATGAGGACGTGCTAACTTATTAAACTTCATGGCAGGCGCTAGGTTAGAAAACTGAATTCTTACTAACTTGGACTGCTCTTGTAATCTAGCAGCCAGAGAGAATTAACAAGTATCTATTTGGTTAATTTTAACTGGTTTGGGAAATTGCGATCATACCATTTACTATACCCCCATAATGGCTGTCAACTCCCAACTACCACAGATGTATCCTCTTACTATGACCCAGAAAAACTAAAAAAGCTTCACAGAACAAAGAAGCATCCCAAGCTGTTGCCCAGATTTTTGCTAAGTAATTAAGCCACAATAAACATTTCCGTATTTTCATTTTGACTTTATGCTAAAGAAATTTCCAATATTTTGCTGATTTAAGATTATAAAAGCCTGAAATAGACAAAATTTTGGTTTTTAGTATTCTTATTTGGATTTCATAGTACTGGAATGATCTGCACTGCATCTTCTGTGAATTTGTTTCACTAGGCATTTATATAAGGCAAGGATTGGGCTGAACCATAAAGTGTGATCAGTTGGCTTTGGAGGTGTAGTTGCCATGGTAGTCTTTTCCAAGTATCTAGTTTTCTGACTGGGGCATTTTGTAAGGCTGAAAGAACTGCTAAACTAAAGATGCTTTCATTTGTATAAAATTTTTTACACTCATTATTGAATATCATCAGAAGGGATGGTATGGAAGGAGGAAGTGGATGGAAAATGAAGCTAGAAGTGATAGCGATTGCAAGCTAATTATTTTCATATTCAGTTATTGTAATTAGTTTTGTAAAGTCTAAAACTAAAATATCTTTAGGGCACTGTTTTAAGAGAATTACATCTGCAAGAGAGGAAACCGATGTTTTTACTGAAGTATTTCACTTTTTATTGGCACTGGTATCTTTAATCTACTTCAGCTCTAGGTATACATGTTCCTTGTTTGCTAGCAAGAATGATGATCAAACTATTGTCTTCTTGGGCACGTCAGTCTTTCTAGATGCATTCTGGGCTATAACTGTTGTTAACAGCTGCATAGAATTTCATACTCTTTGAGAAGTCACACAGGACTAGAAATAGTAGGGTAAGAGGTAATTTGGTAGACAGTAACTCTACAGAGGAAAACACTTTTTCGGTGTCTATCTTAAATTTTTTTCTTTATAGATCAGTCATGTAGTATTTATCTAAAAGGACATGCCAAATAGCATTCACTGAATAGTCAGTGCAAAATTACAGTACGTCACTACTGTATTAATAGCAAATAGACTGTGTAAAGCTGTATCAAAGGTTGTCATAATTTAAATATGGTGTATCATCATGTGGACGCTTAGTTTGTGTCAAGAGTCTTAGGCAGAGAAAGTCTAGCAGTCCCTGCTTAGCTCCAGCTGCCTCTAATTGCTGCAGATTTTCTGAAAAGAGGTAGCCTGTAAAACACACAAGTGCCAAATTATAAAGTTCAAAGCCAACACGTTCACATTCAATAAGAAAACTGAGTTGTACTGATTATGGAGCAAAAGAGCAATGCATGCTTGATAGAAAGTTCTCTTAACCAAGCAGCTGTATTCAAGTCTAGCAGCCAGTCTTTAGATGGTGTTGCTTAGTGTAGAGTGCGCTGTGTTAGTTTCACTTCTGAGGCAGCAAAAGCATGGACTGCTTGCATCACATCTTCCTTCAAATATAACAACATTAAGTAAAACTGAAGAGTCCTTTCTTGCCAGCTGCATTCAGAAGAGCACTGAATGCCACACACACTTAGTTTTACTGGCCAATTTAAAGTCCTAAAATTCAAAATCACTTGGAGCAAATTTTATTACACTTTCTTCTTTCTTTTGAACTGCTTTATTTAAATATAAATAACAACAGCAGGTCTTTGACTCATACTAAAAGACAACACATGCCATTCTTTTTTGCTCATGCTTATTATTTTTAGGTGAGCATTTTTCTTCATGTTTAAGTATGTGAGCATAGAAGTCTATTTATCTGTTTACCTGTCCACTTCTTTGAGCCTTTCTTCCAGTATTTATTCATTGTATACAGCAACCAGAAACTCGGTGCCTGTCACATCAGCAGATACCACTGATAAATAACTCAGATATAGTTGTTGGATAAGAAGAACCCCTTATTCACCAGCTTATACTCTCACTGCTCAAAATCATTAATTAATCAAATAAACATACTCATATGCAGCAAAACACTCTTGCCTCCATTCCAAAATCAATACTGTATGAGGGTATGATCTATTCAGTGAATTTAATTTATGAAAACACAAACATTTATTAAATTTATGTTAGTTTAACAGCCTTAACAGTTACTTGTAATTTGTATATCTTACTCACTTCTTGGGTTTGTTTTCTTTATTAAAAAAATGCTTCATAAATTAATCCGTTCTTTTTCTTTCTTGTGCCTTTATCCTTTCCAAGGTTATGCCTTTCTGCTGTTCCAGGAAGAAAGCTCTGTACAAGCTCTGATAGATGCCTGTCTGGAAGAAGATGGGAAACTTTACCTGTGTGTGTCAAGTCCCACAATCAAGGATAAACCAGTAAGTAGCTTATGCCATGACACTTACGCTGGTTGCTAAGCCATTTGCTGTTAGTCTTTTCAGTTAATAAATAAATAAACACACACAGTTGATTGACTTGTCCATTTCCTGTTGCTGTCCTTGCTGTTACATTGAATTGACTTTCTGTATCAACATAACATGGTTTTAACGTTTGCTTCTTTTTGATAAATGTCATGTTCAATTAACTTTTATATTTGGTACTTCTGGTGTCTCACAGGAGTATGCATCCTTTTACAATGTTAGCTGTAAAACAATCAGACTATAATTTTTTCCTCTTTGTTTTTTCCTCCTTTCCTTTTTGAAAGAAAAGAAAGCCTTATGCAAATGAAATGAAGAAACTTAACCATGCAGGCAGCTATAGCAAAACAGAAGACATAGACTGTTAACCTGTTTCTATTGTTCACATCTCTAACATTCTTTAATGTTAGTCTCTTTTGTGGCTATGGATACATACAGATTAGATGAAAACTACAGACAAATCTGGTTTGATAAAAAACGTGCTGCCTTTTAAAAACCCTGTTAAAAAGCTTGCACAACTAGAGAAATAACCCAATATTACAGCACAGTGAGCGTGCTTACGTGATTTCTAGGATCAATAAATGAACAGCTTTATCCAAATAACTTCTGAGCAGGTGTTTTTCTGTGTAATCTAAGGATTTCTTATCAACTGTGTGGCTTGCTGCTTAACAGAAGTGAGCATTCACACGTTATAAAACCTCCTTTTGTATCTACACACAGAAATTAATTTCATCTCCACTCCTCTCAGTGCTTTAAAATTTGTGGATCACTGTATGTGATTTCAGGAAAGTCGGAAGCCCAAACTGCAACTGTAGTTGCACATACATGGTAAAATGTTCTGAAAGTCCTTTCACAGATTGCTTATAATGGCGACTAGGGGCAGGGAATTAATAAGGTAGGAGTTTGCTATGATGAAATTTAACTCAAGCCTGGCCTCTAGAGGTGAAATACTAATTGTCCACCTTCTTTTAAACACTTAGATAAGCTATGTTCTCAAATTGTTTTGGTGCTTATACAACCAATTTACTGCTTTTGCTATGTTAAAATTATATTTTCGATTATAGAAAGATTTGGCAGTTTTTCCTTAATTTTAATTGAATTGTCAAGTTTCTCTACTAAAATCAATCCTTAATACAGGTCCAAATTCGACCTTGGAACCTAAGTGACAGTGACTTTGTGATGGATGGGTCTCAGCCTTTGGATCCAAGAAAAACTATCTTTGTTGGAGGAGTTCCACGGCCCCTCCGAGCTGGTGAGTAGAAGGAAAATGTGGGGCATGTAGTAGGGGGTTCCAGTTTAGCAGAAAAAAATGAGAAAAATAGATACAGTAAAGAGGCAGAAAACATACCCTGTCTTTTCCAAAGATTGTAGCTCCCTTTCTAAGTCAGTGAGTGTCTTCCTGTCTACAAAATACAAACTGTGAACATTTTTTAATCTTTTAAATAGGTTAATTAGGATTTTCAGTAGAAACAGTTTTCTGCAAGTTTGCATAATATCCTAGAACTTGGCTGATTTTTTGTAATGTATACCATCCAACTCTGATTTGCTTGCTGAGATGCAAACAAGTTCCCCTTTGCTTTGACTAGAAGACAAACCTTCTCCCAGCCCCTTTCCAAACCAATTCCAACTGCAGCTCTATGATTTCTCTTTTTCTTTTTCTCAGCCCTAACCCTAATTTTCCCATGGAACTATAGAAAAATTTCTCCCGGCCCAGGTCTCTTGGTGGCCCCCCTGTGTACTGAGGATCACTTTCCAGACCTGCTCCTAATGTAGCTCTTTTTCTCCATCTTTTTTCTTCACCCTTAACTCTCTCTCTTCACTTTCATTTGCAGAGTCATAGACAAGACTCCTTAGCCTTTGGCCAGAGGAAAGATTTATCCCAGCCCAGATCTCCTGGCAGCCCCCACTTTGTTTTGAAGGCCCCTTTTCAGCACCGCTCCCAACTGTAGCTCGACACTCTTTTCTTTCTTCCTAACCCTTATATTTGGTGAGCCAATGACAAGGTGATGAAGCAAGCTGAAACATTTCTTCTAGCTAGGTCTTTTGGCAGCCCTTACTTTGTTTAATAGTCCCTCTCCATCCTCACTCCGAGTCAGCTGCATGGTTTCTCTTTTTCATCCTCTCAACCCTAATCCAAATGTTCCAGGGTGGTGGTTGACAAGGCCCCTCAGTCATTGTCTCAAAGAAAGACTTCTGGATCAGGTTTCCTGGTAGCCCTCACTTTCCTTTGGCATACACTTTCCAACCCACTAGAACTTCAGCTCCTCACTTTATCTTTCTCCTAATCCTAATTCTTTTGGGAAGCTATACGCAAGGTACCCCAGCCAATGCTGACAGTAAGATTTCTCCCAGCCCAGGTTTCTTGGGAGCTTTCCCTTTCCTCACCATCTTAAAATAAGGCATAATTATAAGATGGTAATTATGTAAATAGTAACAATTAAGCATTACCTCACTTCTAATTCTAGCCTTTATAAACTGTGTGTCATTTGGCCTGTCACAGATTACATTTGAAATGCATTACATTTGAAAACTGATGCCTTTAAATAGTTAATTTCTCCAAAGCAGACAAAAGGTTTCCAGTTTTTCTTGTTTGCAACTTTAAAGATCTGATACAGAAGTTTTCCTAAGATGTCTGAACACTGCATGATTTCCTTGCCCTGGAATCCTGTATATTCTTTGTCTATTGGCAAGAGTAACTTACTGGAATTACTATTGTAAATGTTTTTAAGCACTCCTGATGTTTACTCTTTATTGTCACTTTCTGAGATCATTACCCAAATGATGATTCCAAAGCATTAGAAAGCAGAAGAATCTACGAGTCACTACATTATGCTGATAGTTTTCCCTTACTGTTGGGAGCAAGAGTATTATCGTGTTTGGCAGAATGAGAGACATTGGTTTGCCTGTTGCAAATGGACAAATTAGCATATGGTCTCCCCTTCAGGGGTTAACAAACACACATACACACTCAATTTAAAAATTGTCTCTATTCTATAGATAATTAACTAGTGAGAATTTCATGAGGACTACAAGGATTTAAATATTTAGTATATCTTTTTCATTTTATCTTGGATAGCTAAGTTTAAACTTGCTACTGAAAGTGTTCAGACATTAGCATAAAGAATGATTGACTTGGCAAGGCCTGTATGGTCCCAGTATCTTGCTCTGCGAGGATCTGTCCCTCATCCATCTGACGAATTCATTTGCCTGTCAACTTTTACAGAGAACTTGGCTCAGTGACCATACACCTTTGCACAGTTTCCCTGCCTCTTCTCCACTTCCTTCAGTTCTTTCCCTTAACTTTCCTCCCATATGTTTCTTCAGTCATGCACTCAGCCTGTCTTATTTTATGAATAATATTTGTAACTTCTTTAGAATTATTCTTAGTGTCAGAAAAAGCAACAATCCATTTTAAAGGATCCACAATCAAGTTAATGTTCAACAGAAATACTAAGCTATGTTGTACCCAAAATGTAGGCTTGCTTTAAGTGTAAAGACTTCTGATGTTTCACAAAATTTTGTTTCAAATGTAAAACACTTCCTTAAGGTCTTTTCAAACTCAGTACTTAGGGCAAAATATCAGGTTCTGAATAACAGGCATATCTTTAAGTGATCTTATATGTGAACTAGCATTAACAAACCTGGCTGGAGTTTGGGGTGATCCTGAATACCTAATTCCAAACACCACAGTTTTAGTTTACAATATGATAAATTCTAAAACAGTTGACCTGATAGCTTTAGTCATACCAAGTCTCTTTTTACGGATTCTGGTTTTTGCCTTTATATTTTACTATAATTCATGTAGGGTTGATTCAAATCTGTTTAAACAAATGTTTGGGTGTGCTATTTTAGACTTTGGAAGACAAGTATACTAATGCAAATAGTGCTTTTTTAAATGCAACAAACAAAATGCAACACATTTGTGTTAAATCTATAATATTTAACTATTGACTTCTTGCAGTTGAATTGGCAATGATTATGGACCGTTTATATGGAGGTGTCTGCTATGCTGGCATTGATACAGACCCAGAGTTGAAGTATCCGAAAGGGGCTGGCAGAGTGGCTTTCTCCAATCAGCAGAGCTATATTGCTGCTATCAGTGCTCGCTTTGTCCAGCTCCAACATAATGACATTGATAAACGGGTAAGTCAAATAGCATGGAACAGGATGGTTGTTACTCACAAAACTGTACAGAAATGAAGAACATCCTCGAATTAATATTATGTTGGAGAACACTGTAACCTCTGTTCTTCACATGACATTTATTAATTATTTAAATGTGTATTTAAGCAGCTAAAGCAGAGTGGAAAAAATATCTTAAGCATCTTAACTGTTTAGCACTAAAACAAAAAAAATAGTTGGTTGTAAGCTCATTTGGTTTTGGTTTTGTTTTGAATTCAAATTGAGGTCAAATACTGTAGAATTTCCCAGCTTCTTTCTCCTTCTTTAGACGTTTGCTCATTGTGCATCAACAGCTTTTAGTTAGTAGCTACTAATATAGCTTCTGGCATTTCTGGTATTACCAGGCAACATTTTCTCTTGGCAATGTATGTCTAGACTTGAGGTTCCTAAAACACAGGTTTATCCTAAGTATAATAGGTGATGCTGACCTGAAAAGTCTTGAGAATTACTTAACCCAAACCAAATGCCAATAGATGCTTGATAGGCAAAAGAGGAGAAAATGAGATGGTTTTATTCAGTCCATATGAAATCCTGGTTTCTAAAGGGCTCTTCAAGTATAGACTGAAATGAAAGTATTTACCGAAATCCAAGTTGAATACATTAAAAGAAAACATTACTTAATTTCCAAATTTTTTTTTTTCCCTTTAGACCTCTTCACCTCTTGATTACATGTCCAAATAACACCTGTTTTTGATGACTCAGCATTTAGGATTATTGAAAAGAACATACAGAATGCACTGCTGCTATGTATTTTTACAATAGGGATGGCTTGTTTTCTACTTAATCTAATATAAATTGTTTCTTAAGAAGTCAGCTTTACTGGTATTGGGTGTGTCTGCTATGTGCAGTATACATATAAAACCGCACAGCTGCAAGGTCCAACCTATTTTTACTTTCTCTTTAAAAATCTGAACTGAACTTTATGTCAGTTTAGATGAGGTCATGGAGTTGTAGGTCCTCAAACTATTTTTCTATGGTGCTGCTCCACCTCATGATTTTAACTAAGACAAGGCTGTTAAATATTTCTTGTCCATTGAATGTTGAAAAATTTTACAGAGAGACTAAGAAGATTAATTTTGGAGTCTTAATCACAGTGTTGAACCCTTTGAGATTTATATATCAGCCATGCTTAAAAACTTGGGTTTTTTTCTAAGCTTTAGGATAGAGCCACAAATGATGCTAGCTGGTAGTTTTTTCCATCAATCAGTAATTTTCACAGTTGGTCAACTGATAATTTAAATTTACTTAATTATCTGTTTTTCAAATAAGTTTATCTGTGCGTTCGAAGAAGTATGAAATTTCTTAAACAGTCCTTAAATATTAGTTTTTAAATCTAATAGATTGAAATCTCTGAATCAGTCTGAACAGTATACATTCTTAAAATTATTTCACTACTAAGCAAACCAATAAAAGGACTCAGAATCTATTTCAGACTTTCACAATTCATGCTTTGGAAACGTGAGTAGGTAGGGATCTAGAGATGTACTGGACATTGGACCTGCTTTCTTCCAATTTCTTTTGAGACAGTACTGTTTTATTTCACATGATGCTTCTAATTTTAGTGGTAGGGCATGCGAGATGCAAAATGGCAGTTATTCAGACTTGTTCCATGCAGTACTGGTAGTACAGTGTAATTTAAAAAAAAATTAAATTGGCAGTTCTAGCTGTTCCATAGGCAAGAAGTATAATTCACTACATAAGCTTTACTTCAAATGAGTAACAATTGCTGAAATGCGATCAGGATAAGCTGAAGTAAATTCAGCATAAAGCTTTTTGGTATAATATGTTTCTTGGTTTTCAACTTAATATTTCATTCTGTGTTTCTTTAATACTATATGTATTTAAGCATAGTTACTGGAGTGAAGTTTTCCTTGCAATATACAAATTTTGCCAGACTAGCACTTGTGCAGTTATAGCAAAATTATTTATAGAAAAAAACTGAAATATACATAATTATATTATCTCTTGTAATGCAGCGTACTGTATAGACTTGATTCTTAGGAACAGATGCATGGGAGCAAACTTGCATGTTGTCAACTTCTGTAATGGTGTTATTGCAATTGCCTAGTCATGCTTCGAAATACTGCTGGGTTTGGCACAAGTGCTTTAAAAACAAAAAGAATTCCAGTCCCAAGATGTTTACAACTGAGTGTGGGACAAAAGTCAGCAGCTCTCCAGCCTATCTGTAATTGACGGCAAGGCCATAGTTATCTTACTACATTTCTAGAGCTAAAAATATTTAGATAGTGATTTTTGCCAGCATAAGGCAGAGTATTTAATTTGAATCTCCTCTTCATTTATTAGTCTGGCCCTGCATTTTGCAGTTCATGAAAAACAAAGAAAGAAGAAAACACAAACCTCTCTGGAAACAAAAAAACTCTGCAACTCACCAGACCTCTGAAGTTTAGAAATATGTTTAGTCTTTATAATTTTTCTCCCTAATTGCTGCTCCTTCATGCCCTGCCCCCGTAAAAACTGTATTCACAGTGGGAGGTTTCTTAGACAGCAGCAAAATCCTTGGAGATGCGATTTTTACTGCACTTCCATCTTAGTACTTTCACATACCTAACTTTTCCAAGAACTGTTGAACAGTTGCCAAAGCACAGCCTTCTTTCTTGAGATTTTTCTGACAGGTAAAGTGGTTGGTAGGACAATTTAGCTACCAACTGCTTTGGGTTAATCCAACATCAGATGAAAATCTTCAGTAGAGTCAAAAGAATTTAAAATACTGTTCCTTCTGTTTGTACTTAGCAAAACTACGTAACCTTCTTACAGTTATTTCTCTTCTTCCTGGTGCAGGTGGAAGTGAAGCCATATGTGCTGGATGATCAGATGTGTGATGAATGCCAGGGCACTCGCTGTGGTGGAAAATTTGCTCCATTCTTTTGTGCCAATGTTACCTGTTTGCAGTATTATTGTGAATACTGCTGGGCAAGCATACATTCTCGTGCTGGGCGAGAGTTCCACAAACCACTGGTAAAGGAGGGAGGTGACCGGCCCCGCCATGTCCCGTTCCGCTGGAGCTGAACCCCAGGCCTCACCCAGCAACAAGTACTGGAGTAGATAAAATCGAGTGAAAAGAGAGCGCTGCCTCAGGGCCTAGTGTTCTGGAAATCTGTGCATTCGTCCTCGACTTTAATGAAGATATGGGTCTTTTTATTACTATTATTATTATTTACAGTCACATTACTGAACTCAGTGTCCAGTATAATACAAACCGGCAGAGTGTAACTGTACTGATTTTGCACTTTGATTCACACAAACATCTGCTTGGTACCTTAATTTCCTACACAAGACTTGTCACTAGTGACATTATGTAGACTGCCATTCTCATCAGCCTTCACTGGGTTGATGTGTATGTGATGAAGATTTTTTTATTATAATTATTATTTTTAAACTGGAGCATGCACTTATTTTCAGAAATTTAGACTTGCCCCTAGCAGATGACTTACCAAAGGTAATATTCACAAGTAGGTGGCAGATGTAGCAAAAACTTAAACAGATATTCAGCAATCATTACTTTGGGTCATTTAGAGTAGTAATAACCCTTAAAGAAAATAAGCCTTTAGTTGCTCTCCATTTTGACTTGTAAGGATGATACCTCATAAGCTGGATCAGACTTTTTCCTTTTGTTTTGCTGAGGGTTTTTTGTTTGTTTGTTTGTTTTGGGTTTTTCTGTTTTGTTTTGTTGTTTTGGGGTTTTTTTGTTAGGTCTTTTAGTGTTATGTAAATGTATGCTGCAATAGCTTTTGCTGCTATTAAAATGGTATTACTAATACCATAATACTCTATTCAGGCTAGGGTATCAATTAAAAAATGAATATGTGATTAAAATAGTGATGGCTGCTGAAAGAAGATCAGTATAGCATACAGAAAAGCTTCCAAGGAAGGTCAATATTTTTTGACTGCATGTTTACTTAATCAGGTTGCTGCATGCAATAAATTTTATATATGTCTAATATAAAACCTGCCCACAATGCACAAATTATGAATCTACATAGGCTACAAAATACTCAGTAACAAAAAAAAATGATTACTGACTGGAGGAAGGCATGCCTCAGTAAATGTAATGCTTCTGAAATTAGGATCAGCCCATTACAGAATGACCTATATTACAACAAATATAAAAACTAGCTGTAGGATATTCTTAAAACAAATTTGTGGATGGTAGATGAAGTACTTTGCGGTGCTCTGTTATATATCGTGCAATTTATTTTATATAGTAAAGTGATTATGTCTAGTACTGTGATCAAACTTAACTGTTAAAGCCTCTGTATCCAACATTAACACATTTTTGACAGTTCATAACAGGTACATAAACAGAAATGAGCTCTTAGTTACAATCTCTCTCCTAATGCTTGCATCATTTACGTAGCTGCAGACCTTGTCCAGAAAACCAAAGAGCTCATGCTAGCATACATACACTACCGATTAGATAGTCTGTCAAATAAACTAGGCACATTTAAGAAAGTTAGGAAAAAAGTGGTGCTAAAGAAATGTCTGCGCATAAAAGTAACATGAGATGTCTGCTCTGTGGATGTGGCGTTATCTCTCTAATCCCTGGATGTATCCTGTGAAGCTTGAATCCAATTAAGACCTGCTAACACAGTGGACATTTTTTTAGCATGAACTATGGGGCTGCAGATAGCATATAACTATAAACACACTTGGTATACTAATGATTGTGAGAATGTGTACACTATTTTTTTCTTTTTCCTCCTTTGTTTTTGCAGTTCTGGGGACAATCTGACTGGATATGACACCGCATAGTAGATTTAAGTGTTCTGGGTTTTGTTTGTTGTGATGTCCTTGTTTGTGTCTAATTTAGTAAGTTGTTTTTCCCAATGTTTAGTTGCGAGTATTGGTTCTGAAAGGATTTTTTCTGTTTTTGGAAAAAAAAAAAGAAAAAATAGTTTTTTACTGGTTTAAAACGCTTATTATAATTATCCCTTTTGAAGTTACTTCTGGGCGTTTTTGTGATATTGCTTTTCCCAGCCCAGGTGTCTTTTCTGTTTTTTTTTCATCTGTACAAGACATTTTGTTATGCACTACTTTTTGTATCTAGACAGTTTTCAACAGTCGGCTGATGATTTTTTTTAAAGAAAAAGGCATGCTTTCTGACTGACATGATCTTTTGCAATACCTCAATTTTGAAATATAGGAAAGAAAATGATATTTTCTAAGTAAGTTTATTCAGAAAAATATATATTAATTTAATTCTGCAAGAAAAATGATTTAACAGATGGGTAACTTTATTTTTTTCATGCTTATTTGAGTTTTTTTGAAAATGAAGAAGTTAGAGCTTTATAACTGTAATATTAAAGATCATAGCTAACCTACAGAAATCTACCTAATTATGTGAAAGAAGAAAAAAACCTTTTTGAAGAAATACCCCTCTTTCATGTAGAAAAATACCCCCAGATAGAAAGAGAGAGAAAGAGAAGCTGGAGAACGTACAACACAGCGTAATGTTGAATTAAATCTAAAACAAAATCATCATAAAGAACAGGTGTAAACACAAACTCCATTTGGTGCTGAAAGTTGTGAATAGAAGGAGAAAAAATATTTTCCCTTAATTTGTATATTTATAATCAAGTGTGATTATGCACGACTGACCAGAATTGTGAGAGTTCTTCTGTTTGTATTTTTTTAAAGAGAACTTTTTTTAGTTTATTAAATTATGACATGCTCCCTTTTGTTTTGTAAATGAATGTGCCCCAAGTTGTTAATATGTTATATTAAAAGAGGGTCCTTCAAAAAAAGTTATTTTTTAAAATATGGAGTTCTGAACTGCAACTTGACTAAGAAGCCCCTGGGTACAACAGGTCCTATTGTGGCCTTTTCTGATGTGAGACTTGAACTAGTCGATTTTTTTGAAGGCTAACCTAACCTCGACTATTTGTTGTTATGTGCAATACTGTTTGTACTGTTTGTATAAAAAAAAAGAAAAATGAAAAGAAAAAAGGCATAAATCTTTATTGCAGATTTATTTTCATTGCAGACTTTAGACATTGTGATTCACTAAAATCATTTTTCTACTGTCAAATATGTACCTTTTCTTCATGCTGGTATTTTTTCAATAGTAATGTAGCCTTTGTACTGAGACAAATTTTCATTGTTATTTTTAGAAAGATTTTTTGCTAAGAAAAAAATTAAACATATTTACATATTTTTCATTTTTATTTCGTATTTTCTTTAAGGAGTGCTTTCTCAACCATTAATATAGTTGTTTCTGGGAGAGACTTTCATATCTGGTCAATGTCATTAATATTATTTTGTATTTTTACTTGGAATAAATTAATTTTATGATGCTAATTCTTTAAAAGTTTATTTTTTTCATTTTCAGTTATTTTTGAAGCTAAAATCTTTGTAATATTGTTACTAAAGTGTCTAGTTTTTTGAAATGCAAAGCTTTATGTATTAACTTGCTGATGTGGTTTACAATAGTGTGGCAATGATGAAAATGGTTGGTTATGTAAAGTGATTGGAAAATTGTAACAAAGAATTGGGCAATAAAATGACAGAATGAAGCAGAAAAAATGTGATATTTTGAAAAGCCTTTTCCTTTATCAAAATGATTTAGGGAGATAATAGGGATGTCACAGTACCAGTTCGCTGTCTAGATTTATACACCGCCAGTGTTGATGAAATACTATTGCCGTTATAAGGAACTAAATCTATTGAAACGATGGGTTTTTGACCCTGCCCATTCAGCATAATGCTCCATTACTTTTCTCATCATGAACTTGATAAACTCTTTTCAATAGGCTGAGATTGAACGGCCTAAAATATATATTCTTCATTGTATTTTGCCACCGTGTTATTTATTTAATTAAAGTGACCCTTTCCTGCACAACTTCCTTCCTGCATACGTTTATCAGTGGCAGCATGGAGCAGACTGTAGGTACCCACGTCATTTTCTAACAAAGTTACCACATAGTGTTGGTAGCTGCCTAGTTAATGCAAAAATAATGTATGTCCATATCCTGGTAGCAATGCAGTAATGCATATTGTCACCACGTCTGAACATCTGTTCAGCTTCTTTGTCTTTCTCAGTTCTTCTCTGCCTCTCTTGTGTCTTTGTCCTTTTTTTTTTCTTTTGTATTGGCATACCAAGTGCCAGTATCAAAACACCTTTCACATCACCTCCATTTACATCACCTTTGTTTCCCTATGCAGCCAGAAGAAACCCCTTCCTGAAGCCAGGGACTCTCTGTTCTGGCACCTGAAACAATCCAGACTAAAACTGGTGTTGCGTAAACAGGGCACACAATGACTTTCTCTAGACAGAACAATTACTTCAACAAGTTATTGATGACCTTTTAGACTAACTTATGCCAGAGCGTTAGAGCGGCTCATCTGTAACTTGTGGAAAGAAATGAGTCCAGAGTTGGTCTATTGTGTATCCTCTGTGTGTTCAGTTCTGTAAGTAATGTATAGACTAGATCAAATAGTGAAGTAAAATTTAGACTCAAATTAGGTACTACTGGTTGGAATGTACACAAATTGCAAACAAAGGAGATTAAGGAATGATGAGGGAATAAAAAAAATTCCTGCTAAGTGGTACAAAGTTTATGCTTATATTTCTGCCTACATGCTTGTATTTTATAGCCTGCTAGCAAGGCATGGGCTAAAACAAATTGTATTGCAAATACGCAGTTAGCAAATAAATTTGCTGATTTCACTATCTGTTAGAGTAGTAAAAAAAAGAAAAAAAAAGAAAAAAAAAAAGGCGCTTAACTGGGAAAAGCTCCCATGTTAATATTTCAGTATTGTGACATCTCTACTTGCAAGGTATGAGTGAAAGATTAGTCACAGATTTGTAGAAATGTCTCTTTTGTTTAATCTGGCTTGTATGTAGTTGCTTTTATGCTAGTTTGTATGATGTCAGCTAAACCCTTTTTCTTTTCCTTCCTTCCTTCCTTCTTTTTTTAAACCAGACAAACTTCTTAATCTCTGCTGCTATAGTGTTCTATCATACCACAGAGTATTTTATATTCATGTTAGTGACTACTCTATACCCCAAATGGGTAGCTGGTCAGAAATCACATTGGTCACATAATTCTGACACACTCAAATTTACATGAGAAAAAGTTTAGCAGTAAGTAGAAAACCAGGGTGCTAAGAAGAGATCATTTTGGCTCTTTTTTTTTTTTTCCTGGACGTAGTTCTGTTGGGGTATAAAGTATTAGATATTTGTAATTTTACTGTCAAAATAATGGACATAACTTTTAGAACATTCACAGCTAAGATCTCTGTACTTGTTTTTCAACTAATTTTAAATGTACTGTATCTTTTATTACATGTTCTCTTAGATTGTTTTTGCTAGTAATTCTAACAAGGCTTCTTCCTTTTTGGCTTGGACTAATGCTTGTATGGAACTGCAGTACTGTGACTAAACATGGAGCTCAATGCTGCTATTGCTTACAACTGCTTAAACTTTGTAGTTTGGACTTTATTTTTTTCTGTAATAACTTATTAAATATAGTTGTATGAAGTACTGATATTTGTCATCCTTTGCACATGCTAAGGAATTCCTGGGATATGCATTACGGGAATGTAAACTAGCTACAACTCCCCCAAATCTTGTATTGGAAAACTGTTTACACTAGATAAGGTTAAGCAAATACACACCTTACTCGCATGCACACTAACTATCTTTTCTCGTTATTTTACAATACAAGTACCTGGTCCACTTACGTTTTCTCTCTAAAATGGAAAAGCCACCCTTGATAAGGCATTTATTATACTAAGCCAAAGGTAAATACAAAAATATATACTATGGAAATATTTCTGAGAATGTAGTTTTCCCCACCAAATGCAGTATCAAGTGCCTTGAAAAAAGGAACTGTTGAATTACTTTCTCTGAATTTAACAAAAATTGCACCTTTTTCTTAGCAGTTTAACAATGGCTGCAAGCTAGAGATTACACTGATCAGTTAAAAAAGAAAAAAAACAATACTAGTTTCTAATAGTTTCTGTTTTAAGAAGAAGAGAAAATTAAAGCTCAGTGATATAGCTGTCTGGAACTCTACAGAATACTTCCTTGAAAAATGTGAATTCTGCAATGTCAGGGCAAGCGAAGACCACAAGAATAGTGCATGTTTTATGTCACTGCGTTCTTTCACTGTCTAAATAAATGCAGCTCAACAACCCTGCTGGAACTATCAGCACTAGAAATTACAGGCTGACTTCAATGTATGTGTTCTACTTAAACAGAAACTGGCTATGATTACACTAGAAATTTAATGCCTTTTGAAAACTATATGAAAAGCTGATGCGGTTATGTGTGCCAACTATGTATTGTACATGCTCCTTTAGTGTGCTGAGCCCTGTGACTTGTGCTGCTATTTTATCCTAACAATACCATGTGCAATAGCTCATACACATGAAAGAAGAAAACTTGGATCCCAGAAAACAAAGAGAACGCTCAGGCATGGACTTGTTTTCAAACTGGTGAATAACCATTACTCTCAGGGGAACGGTCTACTGACTGTTCTTCCACAAGAAGTGGGTTTACAAGACGGTGATCTGTAATTCTAGTAGTAAATAAATTCATGAGAGCTTGTAGGCTTCTGGTTACTTCAGAGTTAAATTTGAGAAGGGAGTTCTTACAAACACCTTACAATTAATGAATGTTAAACTGCTTATTGTTACCTCTTTCTGTACAATGTTCTGAGTCCATCTGGACAAAATCAGTCTGGGTTTACCCCCAACCTCTATTGCAGAGAACAACTGTGGGAGGAAGCACAGCCTTTCTGGAACTTCTAATCCCCAATCATTCCATTACTGATAAAGCAATCCATGCCACTTGTAAGGTTCCAATACTGACAATTTTCCTTCTCCAGCTGATAGCAGCATTTAACTCAGCCATTGCTTGCATTAAAAAAAGATTGCACTAATTTAATTTAAACCAACGCTCTTAAATAAGTACAAAAGGCTGCATGGCCTCTTTTGCTTCTGGTTTTGCATGTGTTATTTTTCTTAGGCTTAAGCTGAATGAAAATAGCTACCTATATGACTACTGAAGCTTGTGTATTAGACCTATTTAGGCACACTTCTAAGCTAAACATTTTTGTACTCAAGGCACCAAAGCAACATGTCACCCCCACACAGACCTGCAAAAAAGCCAAAGCTTAGCTCTTAAAAGCCATAATCTGCTTTCCTCATGTTTAGTGGAAACTAAACAGCATGAACACAGAGAGAATTGCTGTACTCTCTCTCCTAGGGATCAACTAGAGAAATAGGTTAAATATGTTGTTTGTTTTAAAACCGTTTTCATAAAAATATTACTACCACACAATTCTATTATGAACACAGGACAAAGTTGCATACAGCAGATGCACACACAAACTATGCCTGTTCAAATCAATTCTCTCTCTCCCCAGTGGCAAGCAAAGTTTATCTGCATCACAAACTGTACCTGGAGCAATATGAGAAAGAAATATGATAAAAGTGCAGAAATCTCCCCCTTTTCCTGTTTTGGAAGGAGAAATAAAATATCAGCCAGTATAAAGTCATATGGCAGGCCCTTGGCAATAGTTCGGACAGAACTCATACTACCTCACTCATAACACAGTCGTTTCCCAGTGCAGCCATGCTAACCATTACTTGACTAGCATGGTAGGCACTTGGGGCTAAATCACAAAAAAAAATGGTATCCATTTGCCACTTTTAGGTGCCTGAGTGATATTTATTTGCTACCAAGCTCCTAAAATCCCCTTTGAGCTGCTGCCTAGCATTGCTTGGGCCTATGTTTTTGTGAACAGGAATATGTAAAACTGCTTGTGTCTTAATACTTCTGAATTGTTCAGTAACCCAAGATCTACTTAGATTCTCAGGGTATCTATCTCCCTGTATTTTTTTTCACCTGCAGGCCTAAACACAGAAAGCACTTGCAAACAAATTTATCGAACCAAGTTTCACATAAAGGAGAACAAAGGTG